GAATTAATTTGTTTTTTCATTTCTGGGCAACGGCAATCCTTGCCGCCGTAATTATATGTAGTATTAGATACTAGATTTCTTTTTTGTATTTCACAGACATTATTCCTAATAAACAAAAATTCAGGTTTCCATTCTATTTTAACCCGTTATTGCCTCCAGCCAATTTTTGATCCTTTTCCAAAAAATTTTAGCCTCTTCGCAGGTCCACCATAAATGGTAATATGTTCCATGTATTGATTTTGTGCTTTTATTTGATTAGATTCATCAAGTGAAGCCAGATACTAAAACTTGCTGACCATGAATTATGGCACCGCACATTGTGAGATCCTAACTACTTGGGTATTGTTCCATAAAACATGGTTAATGAAAACATGGTTTGGCTATATATATATATATTTAATAGGAACTTTCATATGAACAGAACAGATGTTTCTGAGTTCAGAGATAAGTACAAGTAGTCCTAGTTTAGTGACTGTCTCATTTAGTGATACTTTGCAGTTGTAACAATGATGAAAAAGTAACTTTATGACCAATTGTCACATTACAACTCTCACAGATCTGCAAAGGAAAGCTGAAGTAAGATCACAAGGACAGTTGATGTTTCACTTAATGCCCGCTTCACTTAACAACCAAATGATCAGTCCCAATTGTAATTGCTAAATGAGGACCACCTGGACACATTTATGGCTACAGTCTCATGAAATGAAAGCTAATCTTACCTTCCTGTTTCTTTCCTGAGTGTATGTTATACTGATCTTTCTGCTCTAATAATTTTAAACAATACTCAGGAGATTCAATATTATTTTTATGCGGTTACTTGGATTTAACACCTTGGTCTTCATTGTGAAATGAACATCTAGGTTTCTCTACCGGAATTATTTATTGTTTATTGTTTCCCCTCCAATCTGAATTTATATTTTTCAGTACAGAAAAATATTTTCTTTATGTTACTTTATAAAGCACAAGTAGGGTAAAGGAGGAACATCTATTGTCAAAGAGAGGGCCTTATTTTGTATTGCATAAATTAAACATTTGAAAGTAAGTCAGCAAGGATATCAACAAGATATTCTTGAAAAAACCAATATTGCAACGAAGAAGGTGCACTTAAAACTCTGCCTATATTCTCTGTCTGTGACACGGAGGCTCAGTGGCTAAGATCTTGAGCTTGTCGATCAGAAAGGTCAGCAGTCCGGTGATTCGAATCCCTAGCGCCATGTAATGGAGTGAGCTCCCGTTACTTGTCCCAACTTCTGCCAACCTAGCAGTTTGAAAGGATGCAAAAATGCAAGTAGAAAAATAGGGACCACTTTGGTGGGAAGGCAACAGTATTCTGTGTGCCTTCAGTGTTGAGACATGCTGGCCACATGACCACGGAGACTTCTTTGGACAGCGCTGGCTCTTTGGCTTTGAAACAGATGAGCACTGCCCCCTAGAGTTGGGAACGACTAGCACATATGTGCGAGGGGATCATTTACCTTTATCTTTACTATATTCTCTGTCAGACATCCCTGTAAATGAGTTCCCATCTGTTCCAGTATTTTATTTTTAAGTTTATATTTTTTATCCCACGTTTATTGTTTTTAGAAACAATTCAAGGCAGAGAACATACCTAATGCTTCTTTCTCTGCCTATTTTCTCTATAACCACAACCCTGTAATGTGAATTGGAATGAGAGAGAGAGAGTAACTGGTCCCAAGTCACCCAGCTGGCTTTCATGCTTAATGCTGGCCACACCATAATACAGAAGAGTGCTGGTTGGCTGTCACATAAGACAACTAAAATAATTATCTGAGTGAAGTATATATTAATTTATTAAATTTTAAAGCTGATCAACAGCTTCAGTTTTCCAATGAGAAGAATATTGTGTTTAAAAATGCAGTGTTAAACAAATCAATGTAATAAAACCACAGGAAGCATTCATACAATTAAAAGCAACAGCACCATTCCTAAAATGCCAAAAACTAAAGAGATAATCATCTCAGTTACCACGGCCCTGGTAATTAAATCTCAGCTCACTTCTATAAAGGACTTTGGCACTAGTGTGGTGCTTCTATGATTAGATGCCATTGTCACTTATGGACTATTGAGTCTATTTACCTCCCAATCACCTGCAGTACAGCAGAAAGGGCAGATTTTATGAGATGCTGCATCAGGGAATCAGAATTTCTGCTTTTCCTGATCTCTTCCAATCTCTGTCAGCATCTTGGGAAAGTTTGGGCTGAACAGCCATTGTTGACTGGGACTTCCCATTGTTGAGTCCCATCCACTCACCTGTAGCAATTGCAGGGATATTTTACCCTGCCAATAAAGAAAAACTGAAGGGGGGAGCTGAGACCAGATTTTCCCCACCAACGGTGATCTTGAAGGAATTCTGGGGGACTTCGGTTTGCAGGCTGAGAACAAATGGCAGTCAGCCTCGAGTGTTTCTTAAGACAAGGGGAGTGAAAATTGTGGCACTTTGAAAGTTGTAAATTGGACTCATTTGGCAGTGTAATAAAATGTGTAATGTTATTATCTTATCCACTTTTGAAGATTAAACGTTTTAATTGTGACTTAGAAGTTTGGATGAATGTCGACGCTTAGCAGCCATTTGAAATGACGATGGCCCTCCCAAGAGCTATTTCCCAAGAAAATTTGAAACTCTGACCCAATTTCAAAGTTCCAATGTCCTCAACCCCTGTAGTCACATGATCATTTTGCGTCCTTGGCACCCTGCCCAGATTTATGACTGTTTGCACTGCCTGGTGGTCATGTGACTGTAATTTGTGAGGGTTTTTTTTGCCAGATATTGGTGTTTATTTCGGTATAATGGGTTCATTTCAGGACTGGGCCATTTGTTCAATGATTACAACATTCATTTAATGACTATGACATTTGCTTAACTGCTACAAAAAGGATTGTAAAATTGGGCACAGTCACATGTTGACCCACTTAATGACCAGAACTTACAACTGTAATTCTCGGCTCAATTACAATCATGAGTTGAGGAGTACCTGTATCACTCTCTCTCTCTTACACACACACAATGGTGGGCTGCTGGGGGTTCACAGGGGTTCGGGAGAACCTCTAGCTAAGGTTCTGTGCAGTTCGGAGAACCCCAAAATCCCACTCCTGGCTGGCCCTGCCCACCCCGCTCTTCCCAGGAGTCCCCATGCAGCCCGTTTGGATGCAGGTAAGTGCAGGGCGCGTGTAGAGACTCAGGGAGGTGAAAAAT